CATGCCGAATGCACGATTATTGTAGATTTGATACTTCGGAAACTTTCCCCAGAAATTGCTTCATAAGCTAAAAACGATGATGAAAAATACAATTAGATAAGAGATTATTAACGAAGTGGTATTTACTATTTAGGAAAACGATTTATCAAAACGATAAATCATCGGTGCCTGAAGTAAAAAATATTTTTTTAGATTGCTTGAATTGAGAATAAATCATATAGACTTATGAAGAATAATCAACATATCCCTAATAACTCGAGTGGAACAACAATAATTAGTCTTATAGGATGCACGAATACACATTCACTTTTCATCAATGGCGCTTAACGTGTATTATTATTTATTAATTTAAAACCAGTACATCCACAACTATAATTCAATATTTTAACCTTTATGCCTCATTTTACATTTATGTAAATCTAAAAAACTAATGGTAAGTACAATGGTTTTAAAATATTTAAGCAATTAATAGGTAGGTACAATTTTTAGGTTTTATTTGTGAACTTTGCTTTTTAAATATTTCAGAAATTATGAACTAACATTATATTATAATTTTGAATGAAATAATATGTTCTATTGTTCTGCCGTAAAAAAGGGATTTGCACCAGAATAATTTTTTTCAGGTTTCGGGTGTTGAAAGAAAATTCGGGTTATTCAATTCGGGTGTTACGGGTTAATACACTTTTCTGGTTACAGTTAAATACAAATTTATTGGGGTTAATTATGGTTAATTCAGATGTTAAAAAAACACATGTTGTATATCAATTAATATGAGATTTTCAATGCGAATTTGATATAGTAATCTGATTTTATATTTAAAGTAAACATACCTAATAAAAATTTAAAAATTAAATTAAATATTAATACCTACTTATTAATTATTCGTTTTTTACTTACTTAGTACTTACTCAGTCCTTTTTCTACAAAAGAAAGTTCTCGCTTATTATGTATTTTAATTTTTAACTAAACATATTTTCGTTATATTTATTTTTGGTTAAGAATGTTAGACAACATAATTACTATTGTCTATTATTGAATATTGTGAAATAAAATAAAACAATCATCTAGCATCAAGGTCATCTTTAATTTTTAATTAATTATTTTGTTAGTTACAAAAAAAGAATTGAGTTATCCGTTACACACGTACACTATACTATCCTCTTGTCTTCTTAGTCACGTTAGTTGCAAAAAATACATACAAATTGATATGCCACTTAATTTTCAATAATTCGGGTTTCTGGTTATTTTGGGTGTTTTTGGGTGTTCATTTTTTCAATCGGTTTTGTATATACGGGTTTTCGGTTATGCTATTTATTTGGGTTAATTCGGGTTTCGGGTTTCGGGTTACTTTCGGGTGCAAAGCCCTGCTATTTATACTCAGTGAGTATTACTCACTATTAACAAAATGTTTTATTTATATTTATTTTAAATGATTTAATCAATATATGTCATAATTCATAATCTTCAAGCACCAGCTTAAAATCTATACATTTAAAACATTATACGACACACTATAATATACGAGATAAACGATAAACATAATCTTAAAGTAACGTATCAACTTTGATTTATTAGTACATAATTATAGTATTTTACGATATAAATAATAGCTCTATGAAATATGTTGAAGCTGTGAAAGAAAATTAAAAACAAGTAACAACACAAATTTAGTATTAATTATTATAATAGTAATTTTTTTAAATAAAAATTCGTTCCATTGTAATCAACTCAACAGTCACATATTGCATTCATTTTGTAAAGAAGTATTATTGGTATTATAATGCGAATTTTATATCAGATATTTTACTTAGATTAAATAACGGTTATAACCTATAAGTGTAGGTATTGTTTTTTTTTATTATTATTGTTGTTATGAATAATTCTATTTCCTGACACGAATAGGAAACGTTAAATTGTTCACATAAAAGCAACTCCACCCCCATAACATTTCAATAAACAATGAAAATATTTCGGTTATAAAGATTTGGTATACTTTAAACGTGATATAAATTGTTGATAAAACGCTCATTAGGACAGCACAATATTTTAAAAGTAATTCTAGTAGTATATTGAAAACAAAATGTATAAAATGTTCTATGGGTGGCATTAAGTTTGACTTGAAAATAAAATTTAAAAAAAAACACACTCAATGAACAGGTGGTGCGGTTCTTTTTAGTTTTTTTTTTACATATGTAAATAAAAACATTACTATATAGTTTAGTAAAGACATGTACCTACTTATTCGATTTTTTTTTTCTATACACTAACACTTAAATGCTTCATTAGACTTTAAAAGCAAAATATGTTCTCGAGAAAAATATCCATGTAAGTATATTACGTGCACTACACAGTCTATAATAGAGTGCTATTGTTTAACTTATAATATTATATAACCACTATTATTACAATATAAAGTTTGCATACTTCCAGACAGCTGCGCGATACATATTAAAATAAAATACTCTCAATTACTAAAATATTACGTATATTATAATATATGTAAAAACCTAGATAATGAATTAAATTAATATTTAATGGAATATGTTTATACTGGATTTTAAGGTAAGAGACTGCTTTAACTTGTGTGTTATTAAAAAAAAATTAAACATATTAAATAAATATTAAATAATTTAATTCTATACATTTTTGAAACATAATTCACCCTACGTACTTTATACGATATAGTTTAATCTTTAAAATAAAAACAAATTAAATTGTCTGTAACATTTCTAGTTATTATTTATACTACTAATGTCTTACCAAATTACCTACCTATGTATACAATTTAATATATTTAACTTTATATAAATTAAAATTTTTAAATACATTTTTGGTGTGAACAATATTTATCATTAATTGTGTTCAACTGTTCAAGTATAAAAATAATTTGCTTATATAGTATAGTAAGAACTAAGTATATATTTATAGTTTATTGTTTGTTTGTTTCACAAACATGCATCTAATAACGAAGAAACAATTATGATTTATAGTTGTAATATATATATATATATATGCAGGCGCGTATCCAGAATTTTATTTCGGGAGGGGCTTAACAAAATTATCAAAATAGTCACACAATAAAACAAAAAAGTGGGTAAGTGGATGTCGCTCTGCTGTACAGTAGGTTACAAGTGGGTCACTGTAATGGATGGTGTAAAATTTGAATTCAATGATATAATATCATTGTATAAGAAAAACAATTCTAAGCGAAAACGGTCAGTCAGCCTATGATATTACTAAGTATATTTGATGATATTATTGTGAATAAAGTAATTTATATATTTACCTATTTACGTGGACCATTGTTTTAAATTTTCAATTCTTAACTATGAACGTAGAACATTTTATAAATTTTTAATTACAAAATATTTATTACATTTTAAATTTTGTCAAAATTCGAACTTTAAATGATTATAAGAAAAAATTGTGCCTATGTATTTTTAATATTTTTCAACTAATATTGTTACAATATATCAAAAGCCTTGCGTTAAAATTTCACGCTTTTTTACCCAACAAAAAAATATTTATTGATATTTATAGAAAAAAAACTAAGAAAAATGAAAACTGTCAATGTCCGTAAATAGCTCAAAAAGAGGCAAAATATTTTCAAATTTTTTTGCTGTATAAAAAATGAAAACATTCAGCAAAATTTTAAGTAATGTGATTTTTCCGTATTTTGTCAAGATTCGAACTTTAAATGCTTATAAAAAAACTATGACTAAGGATTTTTAATATTTTTCAACTGCTACTGTAACAATATAACAGGAGCTTTGTATTAAATTTTCAAGCTTTTTTACCCAATAAATAAAGTTTTATTGACATTCATATTTTTTGGATTTTCTTGAAATTTCAGGGGGGGCTGCAGCCCACCCAGCCACCCCCATAAATACGCCCCTGTATATATGTATTCCAGTATTTGTGATTTACAATAAGACACGCGTTCATTATATCTTGAGAGTTGTAGGTATTAAAACTAAAACAAAAATATAAGTAATAAGTATATTATAAGCTCATTATATTCATAAATCATAGTACAGTTAAATAAAACGTTAATCGTACACCTTCATATTATTATTATGTCTAATGAAACTTGAATAGTAGGATAATATAATTTATTAAAATATATTGTATTTATATATTTTATTCAAAAATTGTGTGCGAAACGTTCCGTAGCTTATCGAATTTAATTTTATATTAGATATTCTTATATTTTTAATTATTATATTATGTCCAATACGAAAAAAATAAGCTTAATTATATATTATAATATTATATAATACTAAATTTCCTCGAGCTGCGGAAATAAAAATACACGTCCACCGAGATATAAGCATATAATATTATATATTATACTTGATTTCACCTCCCTGTTCATGGTAAAAATAAAAAATAATAAAAGTAAAAAAAATTAGTGCGTGTATGGACTAAGACGCGATTGTTATAACAGTAATATCGACGGAGCAGCTGCACCCGTACATACGCAAAACACACGTACCTACGTAATAGCGTGGCTAAAAAGGGTGAGGGACTCACTCCGCAATGTGACGGTATGTGAGAAAACGATCGGACTAAGGTTCCCACCTATAAAAATGTCGCAACAGTCAAAATACAAATGCGAACAAGAGGCGAAACTGACCCTTCGCAAGCGATGACCCCCTCCCTTGTTACGTATATATTATATTATGCCTATTTGGCTTTTGAATGATAAAAAAAGGGTTCAGCTTCTTCCTTTCTAAAAAAAACTATATTTCGTGTACCTATTGCAATGGCAAAGCGGTAGACCGTAGACAGTATAGGTAGGTACCTATTTACAAAATCTACGTAATATAGTATTATTATACGAATGAGCTTAAAGTTTATACACTTAAAACTAGTTAATAAAACATTTGTTTTTTTTTTTTTGTAAAAAAATGTGTTTTATTTGCATATGTAAAAATATATAAAAATAATAAAAATTTAAAAAATATACATAAAAAATGTCCCTACGTAAAATTCTCCCTCTAGGACAGTTTGTTCAGGCGAGCCCTAGTCACGAAGCACACAAACGATACAGCGTGGAAACCAATGTACAGCCAAATCATGGTATAAATGTGTGGCATCAGATTGGCTACTTTAAATTCATATTTATCCAAAACTTCGCTGCCATCCATCAGGCACGGTACATCCGGATCTTCGCTACATGCTAAAGTCATTATGTATAGTATATTTCAATATTTTACTTGCGTATAAAAATTAATAAAGTAAAATGTAATCATATTTTAGGCGAATTATTATTTACCAATATAAGTCACGTTTTGCCAATGAAGGATAGTGAGCGCTTCAAATCCAAGTTCAAACCAAGATATCTTAACTATCCAATGCAAAAACCATGGAACACTCCTAAAAATATAAATAATTATTTGTAATAAAATCTTAGCATGAAAAATGAAAATATTAAACATTCTAATAAAATATGTTTTGAAAATTGTGATTAATGAGACAACTGACAAGGGACTATCGTCCAATGCAAAATGATGTCTATTGTATCAAAAATTACTCTACTTTTTTATAAAATAATAATTATTACAAAAAGATTATTGTTATTGAAGTTATACTTCTTTACGCACGGTAGTGAGGAAAAAAAAAAGCGAACGGGCGGCGCGTACGAACGGGCGGCCGTACGAACGCGAAAGCGTACATGTCCGTAAATAAATAAATATTGTCATGGTAATGTTGTTTTATTATATATTATAATATATATATATATCTGTATATATAAAACAGTAAGCTGATTGACTGCTATCAACGCACAGCTCAAACCATTGGACGGATCTGGCTGAAATTTGGCATACAGATAGCTATTATGATGTAGACGTGCGCTAAGAAAGGATTTTTCGAAATTCGCATTTTAAATAGGTGCTCAAACAGGGACATTGAGATTCAAGATGGAAATTGGAAATTTTATTTTTATTTATTAACAGTTGCCATTGGTTACAGTCTACATTAGAAATTAGCATTTATTTATTGGGGCAGATCAGGTACAAGCTTGCATCAAATCAAATTATTGAACATTGCCTACCAGGGTGGCTGAGTTGCACTTACCCCAGCAAGTTACACCCAAAAGGAGTTCAACAATCATAATTTTTTTAAGAGTTGTGATTTTTTACGAGCAACCAAATTTGTTATATTAATCCACCGTATTATATCAAAATAAACTTGGTATAACTTTGATAATTTAGAGTTAAATCATACACTTCCGTACAAACAGCACGGGGTCCGCGATCTACCGCAGGTAGATTGCCTACCTGATAATGTACTGCTGCGATTCAGAATTTTTATTCCGGGCAACGGAAAAGATAAGATAAATTTTGAACACCATACACCGAATATTGAATAACGAATTGAACAAAGTTTGAGTCATAACTCATATTGAGTAATGAGTTGATACATTTAAAGGGCGACGAAGTGCACAGGATCAGCTAGTATTATATATTATAATCGGGCCATACTAATTAATATGAATAATTAATGATCGATTATTATTTATTTTTATTATTATTATTAGTATTCACTCACAAATCTATTGTCTGGATAAAAACAATACTACAAAGAATTATCCATCGATCTGTCGAATAAAAATATAAAAAAAATAATAAAACTATCAATGATAAATAATTCCGGATACTTCTTCTCATTTTTTAAATTAATTAATATTTTTTTCTTTCTTTTTCACTCACTCACGTGTACCATTCAAAAGAAGTTTAACTTCCCGCGCGCGTACTGGTAACACACATGGTTTTTTCTTTATTTTTCAAACCTTACTGTCTGATTTGTAATACTAAGTGAATAAAAAAAATATTTATATTTGTATATTTTAACTACGCCACAAATGTTTTTAATTACACAGAAATTTACTGAGATTTAAAAAAATTTGGACATTTTAATTATTTAATTAGTTTTCACGTTCTAACATTTCTATTTTGTATAATGATGCTATTCAAAACTTAGATATCAGAATGTATTTAAAAATGTTTTACTAAATTATCTTTAAAAACTCGTTATAACGACCTGAGGTTCACAAATATTCCGGATAGGATCATAATCACATTGTCAAACGGCTGGACAAATGTTAACGCCAAAGATAAGGATCCAAAAATATTGTTGAACATGTAACCTAAATATATAAAACATATGAAAAAGTTATGTTAATTAGATCTTAGGTAGGCACTGACGTTATAATTATACATAAATATACGCGTGAGCTTGTATTTGTGTGTGTGTGTGTGTGTTTTATATATCATTATATATTTTATATATTTATAACATTATGACATATATATTAGCATATGTGCATATAGCGTGTAATTTTATCAATATAGATTATATTTTATACTATACGTGAATACGGACCGCAAGAAGTGGATACGGCCATCACCAGAATCGTGATGATTACCGTGAGAAAATATCCATACAGATCGGTTTGCATACCGGCCATGCAGTAAACGATTGTCGTGTACACCGTGGGCTCGATGATCAACGTGGGGATCTGCACGTGGGGGCCATCGGACAGGACAAAAAAAAAAATCGGAAAGAAAAATGTAAAATCCGTAATAATAATATTACACAGTATGATAATTAGTATGTATAAATAACACATAATATTGTGGTCACCGCACGTTATCTGCTCGATCAACGTACCTACCCATATTAAAATGGTTGACGGACAAGACACTTACGAAGGACAGTATGTTGGCAATGTAGAAGGTCGGGGCGTCGTAAAGGCCCGAAGTGTACTCTCTCCTGAACAGGGGCAGTTGTGTGGGCAGTTGATTCATCACCGAATACATGGGCGTGAAGAAGTTCTCCGTGATCAGCATGAAAAATACGCCCTGCACCGATTGTATGCCGACTTGAGTCTGTTGCACTGTGCCCAAGTAACACAAGCCGACCATGATAGCGATCCCCTGAAAGGAACGAAATAGTTAAGTAAAAATCATTGTACCTACGTGTTTATAGAAACACATTTAACCACGGTTAACTTTTTGGTACTGATATATATAACATTGCTAACTTAATCATTAGTTAGAGAAAAATGTACTTAAGTATAGTTAAACCAATCGATGAATGACAGCTAAAAGGTATAAGGTCTATAATTTATATAATAATTTAATAACCTTAAGAATGGTGTTAAAATTCAGTATGGGCGAGACAAAAAGTTTTATTTTATGAATTACCTACACAATCTTTAAATTATTTAATTCTCAATAAACTTAAATAAGACAGTTAGGTATATTATGGTGGAAAATAAAAGAATAAAAATAAAAAAACAATATTCTTGGTAGGGAAACTCATTCATTATGAGGCCCCGTATATAATAAAGAATAGAAAAAAATAATAAACGTTAAAATATATTTTCATTTCAAATAAATAAAAAACCTATTTGAATTTTTTTTTAATTAGGATAAAATATGAAGAATACTTTTTATTTTTATTATTATTATTATTATTATTATTATTATTATTATTTTTAATGATTAAAAAGTGAAATAAAGATCTAATTTTAACGAGATTAACTTTTCCCTGTAACGTTTTCTTGAAAATAGGACTTATGGTTATGTATCATGTAGGTAGAACATACGTTATATTTACCGGTGAAGAGTTATATTGCCAAATGAAACCTAAATGTAATTAATTTAGTCGAGCTGTGGAGGCTTTATTAACTCTTAAATCAAAGTTTAAGTCAATTATTATTTTAATAATCAAATGTCAAGGCACCGCCGTATAATGACACTGCATGCGTGAGTATGAGTAAAATTAACAAGTTAAACTATAGCAGGGTTGTAATTATATTATTATATTTATCGTATCGAAACGAACAATGATTATTGCTAAAGATATTATAAATAATCGCATCAGTATATATATATGTACATAATGCGAAAACGATTGCGTTTTTTTAAACGTCGGCGTGATAACGAAACCAATATATAATATTATATATAGAGAGAAAGATTTAGTGAAATCGAGGAAAATCGTACGACGTGTGTTTCCCACGCTTTATACGTACTTATAATATATAGGTAATAGCTGGTATTGTGTTATATATATTTAATATATATATATATATATATATATAATGTATATAATATATAAAATAGCTATTTATAATATTATATACACGAGCGCCCGTGCGCGTGTGTGTGTACGGTTACGACTGAGGCGGCATTATATCGTCTGACGGAATCCGCGCCGTCACGCAGCAGCGTCTTTCGAAAGAAATGAAAAAAAACAAAAATGATAAACAAACGACTACCTCTCCGACACGTAAACTGTAACGCGAGCGCCTAGACGAATGCGCGCGTGCGAGGCACACGTGGGAGACTTTAATATTATATTATTATTATTATTATTATTATTATTATGGCACAGACGCGTTCGATTTATACATAACATAATAATAAAGATAATATATTATAACATAATGAGGTATGAAATATGGTGTAACGATTCGTGTTCATAAAAAAAATGTGCGTTCTTATTTATTTTCACGGGGACGTCCCTCCGCCGCACACCACGAGTGGCGGAGCGTCGGGGTCACCGGTGCGGAACACGTCGAGGCGCCACTGTGGGTACAGCACCTGAGATTGCGTGCGTCGTGTAAATTTACGCGCGTGGACTAAGGCGGCAGCAGTCGGAATTTTTTTTTTTCAACTCATTCCCCTGTACGGGGTGATCCGTTTAACGCAAGACACTCATTAGACACATAACGCACACCAATAGTATTGCAAATATTTCTTTTACATAATTTTAAGTCACTACAAAAACAACATTGTTGGAAATAATAATGGAAAATTTATATTTTTTTATGCTTTTACTCTTTTGACTTTTGCGCATAGTTGATGTGTTTTTTTCATTTTTGAAAAAAACCGTATTTTTTGTTTTAAATAGTTTTTTTCTGTTTGAAATATGCCTTAATAAAATAAATTGTTTTAGTTTTAAACAGTATTTTTAAAAAAACTTAATTTTAATTGAATATGTAATTTACTTATATGCCAATATGCCATATACTAGTATAATATTATCACTGTTTACTTATTACTTATTTTAAATCTTAAAAGTATTTTGTTAATTCCTTAAAACAATTAAATTACTTAAGATATTTTAGACAATATTTGCATACAAAATATCAAAATAACTAATTTAAAACTGTTTTTTGAATGGATGTTTTATGTGGATATTATATTATGTATATATTAACTATTAATAAAAACATTTTAAATTTGGTATTTTATTCAATCAAATTTAAAAAAATATTAAAATGAAGGATGGTAATAGATATAATTATTTAATACTTTGACTTTTTTCTGAAGGATAAGTATCTATTACTATTTTTTATTAAATAAACAATATAGGTAAATAATATATAATATGTGAAATATGTATACTACATAGATTATAGGTATTATATAGGTAGTGTATACCTGATTCGAGTTCACCTCGCCTATAACCGATCATATATATATACAATAATCATATGCCGTGTTTGACGAGATGAGATTATATTTATACTATATGTCTATATATATTATTATTTCACTATATCAACACACTTTCTAGATCAACTATCGTGTATTTTAAGAAAATGTTTTCGTGTAGTTAAAGGTGATTTTGGGCTGACTTACTAATAGGTAAATTACTGCGGCCTGCGTGGCTGTGCTGCATACATAATTCAGAAAATAAGTGTCTTTTTTTAAACAAAAGTAAACATCAACACTTACAGAATACTAAAAGAAAGTTTATTGAGGAATGACTATTGTTTTGAAATAAATCATCGAAGTAAGTTAATAAAATTTATAATATTATAATAAATGTTTTTTACACTTTCTATGAAGTCTCGGGGGGATATATAAAATGGGATGAATTTTAATCAAATGTTAAGTCTTAATTCCAATTATTTCATAATTTAACTCTAAAAAACTCCAACGCCTATAAATTTATTGCTACATATAGTTTTTGCATTTTATAACTTTATTCAAAAATAATTATAATAGATGAATGTATATATTGTATATTCAAAACGATTAAATTAAAATTTTATATTTCATAGTAATTTTACTGTAAAATTACTGTATAATATTGTATAATAATATTGTTGAAAACAATTGAAAAATATTTAGATATTAAAAAGTTTCTAATTTTATATACGGTTTTATCCCTATATGGTTTTTATAAATCTATATCTATATATCGTCAGATACTTCTATTAGTCCCACTATATATATATCCAAAATAACTAATAAGGGACATAGTATAAAAAACAAAAATAATACTTTCGCTTATAATATCGATTATATTCTGATATTTTTGCAACTTAACGCTTAAAATAGTTTACATAAGTTGGAGTACTGAATAACACATAAAGTAATCTGCGATTCCGCATATATTGATAATTATATTGATATATTTTGAGAAAAGTGAAAACTGTTGAATAGCAACTAATAACAAGACGAGCAGTATTATTGTAGTAGATTTGAATAATTTATTATATACAATTCTAATCGCCCTGAATTTAAAAATAAGTATTGTTCGCCGTGCATTCCATTGCGGGGGGTCCACGTACCATAGCAGAGCGCGTCATTTGAATAGGTATGAAATATATTAAATTTGCAAAATATATTCGTATAGGTGCACGCGATACAGGTACCTAAGTATTCACAAGTTATAACCGTACCTACATAATGTGTATCGGATACTCACGACTTTTTGCAAAAACCTGTGGATGTCGATGGTGGGGTTGCGGATTTTCTCCAGAAAATATCTTCCCGTCAGGTGGTACAGTTTCACCGGCCAAAACGGTGATAAGCTGTAAACGATTTCAATACATAAGGAAACGTATTAAAGCTTATAGTACAATGTCCACAGAATATAACATATTATATTATTATTATTTAGGTATAAGTAGGTAGGCAGTATAATATAAGCGTAAACTATCCATTAACCCAACGATTACAAGTTACAACATATTATATACTCGCGACACGAAAATAATATTGTCATGGCAGAAACGTGTCTCTGTATATAGGCAACTATATAATAGCTGTATATAATATAAAGGCATGACTGAATGAGTATTGTTGTTATTGTTGTTGTCACAAACTATCAGCTGGTATGTAGGTATATAGTGTACGATATACGTAAAACGCAGGCACCAATATATATGCCTAAGTTTATTTAGGCCCTTAACAGTATGTTAATCGACGGGTTTCGTACAGTTAGAAAATGGCAACTGGCAAGTATAACCTTGGAAGGTATACCTATGTCCTAATATAATATATTATGGGTAGGTATAAGTATTATTATATTTAAATATGTTTCTTCTTCACGCATACTCTACCGTTCTATATAATTGTACATGTATTTTTTAATTATACGCAAACTTTACTTTCTACAGTAAGAAGAAAAATAGAACACATATTTTCCATCTCGAACAATACTCGAGCGTATTTCCTTTGTTTTTTCCTATTATAGTGTGTAATGTACACCATCTATTGCTGATATTGTTAGGTTCAGACAAATCGTGGTTGCTATAGGCACACCAACTCGTCATATTATTTAGGTATTTCACATCAACATGACGTATATTACCATAATATTATCATTTATCATAGTTTCTACAAAACACTAATGATCTTAATATTAAAGTATTGTAATAACGTTCAAAATATTAAGTATAATAGGATAATAGGGGTCGGAACTAAGAATAAAGATTTAAATAAAACTTGACTAAACATCGAGATATTTAAAAAGATATATAAATAGTAAAATTGCCAATACGTTTTAGATTCAGATCAAAATAAAATGTTTAAATTATTCACATCGAATAAATAGTTCATCCTTAATGTTGACTCGTCCGGTATAGTCCGGAAAAACTAACGAACAATAGTAAAACAAATAGGTATGAAAACAATACACTTCGGTATTCGTAAAATTCAGAAATATGCAGTACACATCAAAATAATACAAAATATGCAAAATAAAACTTTGTATTCTAGAACTATTGATTATAATTCAAACTTGTAGCTTATTTAGCTACTTTTTGGACTGCTAAAAAAAACGTGCAAATGCATATAAATCCAGGCCCTAATTGTAATTATATAATGTGGGTGCGTCTGATACTTAAGAGTTAAGAGAATAACACTAATATGATTTGGATTCAAAATTACTTGTACTCAAATATAGAGCCTCTAATATTATACAATGTTTTATACTATCATTTAAAATGATAAATTACTTAATATTTAATAATGGAAAATATAAGACTCACTGATTTCGAAGTACTGATAAACTTGATGTATCCTGAAATTAAAAATTGTGTACACCTTATTGTAAGCATAAATTCTAAAACAATGTACATCCTTTATAGTTTATACTCAATATATATACGACAATGATATATACTTACAAAATATATTTCATTCGTAATAGCATTTTTTACTATTTCTGCGTGTTTACTAGCTGCAAATTCATCACAAACTGTATTTACAGATTCGTTACTATCTGATAATATTTTCATAATAAAATCTGCTGAGTTATAATTATCAGGACAGCGATAACCAACACTATAATATAAATAATAATCAATTAATAATCAGTATTCTTGAAAATATAATTATAATTTTTATAGGGTTTCATTATTATTCATTGATGCAGCAAGTGTTTTAATAAAATATATTGAATTAAAATGCAAATTACAATCAATGCAATTATACGAATACATTAATATAGATTAACTAGGTATATAATTAACTGCTAATTCTTACACTATACAAAGGGAATTGAGATTTTCACACTACAGCTTGTAAATATATTTTTTTTAAATAATGAAAGTTAGGTGTTACCTGAGTGGGCAATAATGTAATTTTACCTTATAGTTGTTGTGTTTTATATCAGACTGCCAACCCCCCAAGAATTTACCAAAGATAACGCCTATGTAATTATGGGCATGGCAGTTTTCGACCAAAATCGTACCCTTCCCTTTTCAGCCAATTCACTTTTCGACCAAAACAAAAAGTTATCTAATATGATTTGTAAAATAAATAAAATAATTGGTACCTATATAATTTTTGTAAAATTATGGCAATTATAATTTTGAAAATTTTTAAAAGCATAAGATTTAATATTTAAAACATAAGAATAAGAATACCTATATATTATTTTTATTTTTATGTTATGTTAATATGTCATAATGTGTATAATATTTTTTTTTTTTAATTGTAAATTGCGCCCGGTATTTTTCAGGTATAAATTTGTATGTAGTAAATTGTGCCCAGTATTTTTCAGGTATAAATTTCTGTGTAGTAAATTGCGCCCAACAGAAATATTATTTTTATGATAGTCATTTAGCGACTCAATACACGTTTAAACTCTAAATGACCACTTTGTTTCACTTTGAAGACAACTCACTTTTAATTTTGAAAATGTAGAAGTTTGGTAGATTTAACACCATTTCTGGCTAAATCAATTATGTATAATATCCATGTTTCACTGTTGCACGCAAACAGCTTACTAAATTATTACCTATACGTGTAAAGGCATTGATATCGCTAATATCATAACGATTATAGCGATAAAAAAATTAAACAAAAATGTTGTTGGAAAAAACTTGTAGTTCATTACATCGTCTCATCGTTCGTTTAATCGAAGTTAACGGGAGTCACATACTCACATTGAACAACTGTAGATATAAATAGGTTTTCAAAATAAAGTGTATTTAATTATGATTATTTTACAATGTAACACAACTTAAATGTATGTCAGTAAATGTGATAATTTAAAACTTTGTTAACCCTAATTTTGTTATTATTTTATCATTTTTATTAGTCGACAAAGTAAAATAATGAGTTAATTGATCATTAATTTTAAATAACCAACAAATAACTATCACCACTGTTTATCTTGTAGAGTTCTCATAGAAATCGATGTGCCACACAATTTTTTTTTAGTCGGCAATTCGAGCGTGAAAAATGCGCGACAATGATGTGACACCTCGGATTCGTATGAGAATTTTTCAAAAATTACAACTAGACCATTTATTTTTACATTTAAGATAATTTTCTAATAATAATTTGTATAAACCCAGATTTTGAAGATAGAAAAAAATTCAAAAAAATCTTCATTGGACCCCATCACACTGAGTACGCCTATACTAGTTACCTAATCAATTTCAGAAACACCCTGTATATTATGGTAGTAACCATCACAATCGACGATCACCGATCAAATAATTAATGACAAAAATTATAGATAGGTTTTAATAATTTTCGTAATGTACCTATAACATAAAATATAATACCTATATTAAACTTTTTGTATTATATAATTTTCAAAACTATATTATATTAGATATTATTATATACTTAATAATTATTGACAAAAATTTGAAAAATTTTATATTATTATGTTATATTTTTTATAAAATATTATACTCATTATGACATATTAACATAGAAATAATGTTAATATATATGTATTCTATTTTACAAAAATTATATACCAATTATTTTATTTATTTTACATATTATATCACATAACTTTTTGTTTTTGGTCGAAAAGTGAATCGGCCGAAAATGGAAGGGCTTACATTTTTGGTCGAAAAAACATGGTAAAAAAAATTTGGTATTTTTCAAGAAAACGGTAATCTATAATGAAAAAAAAAACTTCTCATATGGAACAATGGTTTAAAGTTTAACCATTAACTACCTTATTACTATAATAAAACACCTTCATCTACTTAAAAAAATAATTGGTGATATTTATACTTAAGATTCACAAATAATTATTTTACCTCTCAAAAAACGAAATAGCCTTGTTGGGTGGTCCTGAATAGGCGATTCTTCCATCAGCTACTAAAATCAACTGGTTGAATGCATTTAAAAGCTCAGTACTAGGCTGATGAATTATACAGACAACCGTTTTCCTTTCATCAGACACTAATCGTTGCATAACTTTAATGACTTTTTGAGCACTGTATGAATCCAACCCTAAAATAAAATATTCACAAAGTCAAATGTCAATGAAAGATGAAGTACAAATTAAATAGATATTATATTTATGTTTAGTGTTGTTCTAAAAAAAAACAATTTAAAATTCAAAGTATGGAATTTACTATGGGCGTAACTTGGGCATTTTTTATGGGGGGAGGCAAACTTTATATTATGTCGATATACCGTATAGGTACTTGAAGATATTTGGAGAATAAATATGCTTAATCAGTGGAAACTGGAAAACATAACATAATAATATTATTATCTAAGCTAAATAATCTTTAATGTAGTATGTCAAATTAAATTACATTATGGAAAAAGCTTGAATCTTGATAGGATGATGGTTTATTTAATAAAAACATTCTGAAATTCTATATTTTCCTAATATTACTTTATTTTTGCGTAAAACGGAGTTTATTTCTGAAGTCCATTAGTCATAACGTTATAAATATAATGTATAATACACGATATACCTAATATTATGGCTGCATGTTACTTGCGTCCCAAAAAAAGATATATTTTTCAGGTAGTAAATTTGACCGGTAAATTGCGTCCCGTTTTGGGGACGCAAGTCAGCCATATAATTATTATCGATATTATCTTCTAAAATCATTAAAATCGATAGTATCGTGTTACTAAAATCGATAGTTCATAAACTGTACCTACCGTATACATGTGTGTGAGTGCGTGCGTTACTTACTTACGATGTAGATACAATTTATCTATGATAGGTACAATATGATAGTATATTCTATTAATAACTTAAGTGGGTATTATTTTATGTGAAAAGATATGGGAACATATATACAACTTGTTGGTTGTTAGATTCGATAAGATAAAGCAATTACGTCGATAATTGTTTTTTTTTACTCGCATTATATTTTCACATTTTACTTTTATTCAGTACGATTCGTCTTATTAGACCAATAGTTGTGAAATAACCACTCATCAAATTAAAAAAAATTAAATAAGTTAATTTAATAAAATACCTACGATTTTTTTTTAAGCTATGGAAAAAATGTGTAGCTCTAAATTGGTCGCAAATAATGGTTTTAAAATAATTGATGGTTATAAGTTCGGATATCATAAAATGTTATGCAATAACAATTTTCGATGGAAGAGCACGAATAAAAGCTGTAAAAGCTATATGAAAATAGATGTTCATCAAAATGTAATAAGTAATCCTACTTCACATACTCCATATCACACTCCAGACGACATCACTCTATATTATTATTATTATTATTATTACTACCATGACAAAATATAAAACATATGAATTTTTAATTTTATAAGTTTGAATTTTTAAAAAAAAGCGTGGAAATTGAATATATACTCCTGAAGTTGATAAATATTCGTTCAACTTTTATAGCTAAGGATTGAAATATACTTAGTAATATCATAGGCTGACTGACCGTTTTCGCACAGAATAGTTTTTTTTATACTTTTTCTTTTTACATTTTTATATCGATTATATCGATATTTTTGTGACGCAATTAAGTCATAAAAAAAGGTGTACTGGGACGCAAATCGGCTATGACCTTTTTGATTCTTTTTTTTGCGGGACGCAACTCACCTACTGATAATAATTTCGGACGCAAGTAGTTTGCTCCCAATATTATAGTTTATAGTTATTAGGTATATAATATATATATTTATTTTTAAACGTATCACACTGTGCGTCTATATATTAATTATAGCTTATATAAATAATAACTAAAGTCATACACACAAATATTATAACATAATAAAAAAGTACCTTGAATTGTACAAAGAGATATTAGAATAGTATATACTAAATAGTATTATAGTAATATTTTAATGTAGTAATTCTATAACACTAGTCACTAAGCTCAAAGCTCAAACAGTCAAACGCAACAATGAATACTTATTGAAGAATGTCGTGTCATATTGTTAACAGTTGAAGCTCAGTAAAACAGTTATCACGAATAGGAAAACAGGCATTCATTTTACCCTTAGATCATTACACTATGGATGGATCTACAGCGTATTATACCAATACAAAAAAACTACCAATATCAACGACGAGTCACCGAATTAGGTATTCGATATGCGCATGCTCGACGCAACTTCTTGCATATTTATCCACAGATAATTTATTATTAAATCAGCATATTATGTTTAGATATAATATTATATTGAACAAATAGTACAATGTCTACTATAATAATATAATAAGCACGAACTATGATTTAGAATAATTCAGTGATAGTATAAGTTATGGATAATTATGCGAAGAGTAGCATCGCACGTGTGCATATCGATCACCTAATTCGGAGACTCGTCGCTAATATCAGAAACAAAATAATAAGCTGTGGCCCCATCCATAGTATATGAACTATATAGATTTTACCGAACTTAATGATTTTTTCGGAACACAGCAGGCTGCAGTTTGCTGTTTGGTTTTGTTTTTACTCATTATCATAATTATTATCATGATGTATTACGATGGCATATCGCATATGGAAAATGGCAATAAATAAACACATTTTGATTAATCAATTCATTTTTTTTTCTATAGTTAATCTTTTAAAAAAATTATATTTTTAGTTTTCTTGAAAAAATAATGAGGGGCAGTTGCCCCCTCTCACCCCTTCCCCAGTTTACGCCTATGGAATTTACCATATAAAAATATATCTAATTAATTGACTAAAATGATAATAATTCCTATTCAGTGTCACAACTACCGCAGGTCCGATGTATGAGCCTCAAATTTGCACATACCTGGGCCTTGGATAATTTTTTTTCAATATAATGTAAGAGTATACTTATAGTTATAACGTTTTAAAAAATTGTTTGTTTAAAAATTAAATAGCTCCCAATAATCATGGGTGTAACTAGGATTGAATAGTTACAGGGGCTAGAATCCTACAAAACCAAAGTGTAAAATAACACGTGGGGGCAAAGCCCCCCACACCCCCTTATAAGATTCACTGTAATTTAGTTGTTACAAAAATTCCGCTAAAACCAAAATTTATTATAAACCATATTTTTTTTTGGGTCATCTTCGTTCTTAGCACTACTTGATTTTTAGATTCTGAGTGAAACGATGAATGTATTGATTTTACAATGATGTGTGTTTTTTTATTTTTTTTTTTATTTTTTTATTTTTGTGTCTGTCATCACGTTTTAGGACAGTAAAAGTGCTTGGATTTTCTTCATCAGTAGCTTTTCTGATAGGAAAGTGAATCTAGTTGGTACTTTGGGGGGTCAAAAGTATAAATTTCCCAGTAGTTTTCACAAGCGCCGGGAAAAACAACATAAAAATTAAGGAAAAACGGGAATTTTTACGCAAAATTGGTTTTCCAAAAAATCGATTTTGGTTTTTGGTGTAACTCTGAAACAAATGAACGTATATACATGAAATTTTCACTGGTTGTTTATATTTGCATTTTCTATACACGATAACATTTTCAAAATATTTTGATTTATTTTGAACTGTTTAGGGACATTTTCATTTTCCATTTTTTTTTAGTTTTTTTTCTAAAAATATCAATAAAATTTTATTTGTTGGTTGCGAAAGCTTGAAAATTTAATAGAAGGCTCCTAATATATTGCTTCAAAGGCAGATGAAAAATATTAAAAATCCTTAGTCACAATTTTTTTTTATAAGCATTTAAAGTTCAAAAATTGACAAAATATGGGAAAATCACGAAAATTAGCAAATTATTTTGAGTTAAGAATTCGTAAAAATTTTTCTTTTTAAATCTAAGATTTGAAAATTAAACACAAGATTCCTTATAAGTTTGTCTACCTTTATCAAAAGAAAAATGTTTATAAGAAAGTCAAATTAAATTTTTATGAGCGTTTGAAATTCAAATTTTTACAACATTGAATATTCACTCGATTTCCCATGTAGCGATTTCCTTATTTTGTTGTAATTCAAAAACAAATAACTGTAGATACATGAAAATTTCACTGAATGTTTAAATTAGCATTTTCTATACACCATACAATTTTGAAAATATTTTGACTCTTTTTGAGCTGTTTGTGGACATTTACAGCTTTCAATTTTTTTTAGTTTTTTTTTCTATAAATATCAATAAAGTTTTATCTGTTGGGCCAAAAAGTGTAAAAATTTAATACAAGGCTCCTGATATATTGTTATAATATCAGTTGAAAAATATTAAAAATACATAGGCACAGTTTTTTTTTATAAGCATTTAAAGATCAAATTTTGACAAAATTTATCAAAATCTCGAAAATTATCAATCATTGTAATTAATAAATTATAAAATGTTCAGTTTTTATAGCTAAGGATTGCAAATTCAACACAAAGGTTCTCGTAAATAGTTCATACTGTAACCAAAAAATCTAAAAAATATATGAACACAGTTATTTTTTACAGACATTTTAAATTCAAATTTGGACGAAATTTCATATTAAAAAACCTAGAATAACTATTTTAGTTATTTTGTTGTGATTGAATAATATTATTCGTGGATACTTGAAACTTCTAAAGTGTATTTTTATATATCTATGATAGTATCACGGTTTTTGTTGATGTATAACGCGTTATAAGTACCTAATGGATATTTTGATATGATTAATTTGGAATTTATTATAGGTACCCATTATAGGTCAATTTTTTGTTTAATACCATAGATATGTATATAATATGTCTTATACATAGACTGACATACCGTCTGCGCTCAGAATCGTTTTTCTTATACAATGATATTATATCGTTGAATTCAAATTTAATATCATCCATTATACAGTGACCCACTTGTAACCTACTGTACAGCAGAGCGACACCCACTTGCCCACCTTTTTTAATTTGAATTTGAACAATTTTTTATAATTGTATACAATAAAATCTAACGTTTTTACGTATTCCGTATGGTACTCAAAAATAAAAATAACGGCTGTGACAGTCTGTAATAGTACCTACCTACCTACCTACTTTGCAGTCTGCACAGACGATTATAAACTTAATCAACTTTATATTTTAGTTTGACTTAATGTTTCAGTTGAAGGCTGCTGCAGAGTGCACATAATATAAAAATTAAGAATCATAGGAATGGATTTACTGCATTTTGTAAATTTAATGTGGATTATTTCTAAAGTAAAAAGGCAGGAACTCCTATAATATGTTTAAAAGTGGTAAAAAACATACAAAAAATACATAAAGTACAAAAAAAAAATATCAACAAATAACTTGAACATCTATTAAAAATGATTTATAAAAAAAAAATTATTAAAAAATAATAACTTCTGGATCAAAAATTAAAAAAGACTTTTAAACACGATTTCCCAACATTTCATTTTTTGGAGTTACTGCACTTCTTGGTAGCAGGGAAGTATATTATATCTTAATTCATGGTTTAAGGTGTATATAGCTTATCTGCTTATTGCATATTAGCTTCAAGCTTAGCTATATATAACGCCCCTACTATATATAATATTATATTATCACCTTTAAATAGGTGACCGGGTCCCATATTGGTATACCTATTCTTATAATATTATAGTTACCTATATTAGTTGTACCGCACCTTCGTACAGTGGTTGAATACTATTATAATATAATTATTTTATTTTCCAATTCTTAGTTCTCAATTTACTGTGCGTCTGTGCAGACTGCAAAGTAGGTAGGTAGGTACTATTATACAGACTGGCACAGCCGTTATTTTTATTTTTGAGTACTATGCGGTATACATAAAAATATTAGATTTTATTGTATACAATTATAAAAAGGTGCTCTGAGGTACAGTAGGTTACAAGTGGGTCACTGTATAATGGATGGTATTAAATTTGAATTTAATGATATAATACCATTGTATAAGAAAAACGATTCTGAGCGAAAACGGTTAGTCAGCCTCTGATATTACGAAGTATATTTGATGATACTAAGGTGATTAAAGTAATTTATATATAACCTATTTACGTGGAATCTTGTTTTAAATTTCCAATCATTGGCTATAAAAATTGAACATTTTATACAGAAAATTGCAAAATATGGATTTGTTGACCTTTATATTGACGGACCAAGAAAAAGGGTGATGAAGAATTTTTAAAATTATATTTTTGATCTTTTTTCGAACACGATTAAGTCCGAAGATTCATTTGTTTTTGATTTGATTATAATATGCCATATCAGTATTGAGTATATGGCATCTAATTTTAATGGTCCAATTTTGTGATTATTTAACAGAAATTTTATATGTATGTAATGAATATTCCCTCCTTTTCTGTGAGCGTCATCGTCAGAAATTATAACAAAATAATTTTGTATTTTATTTATAATTTTTTATTTTATGTAATGAATGTGAATCTTTCCATTCCGTTTTAACGCTTATTGTTATTATTCTCATCTATCACTATACACATTAGATGCTCTATACAGGTCCTAAGGTATATAAAATAAACATCATTAGTGTTTTTTGATTAAATTACATTTTTTTTTACCTATATAATATAATATAATTATATATTTTTGAGTTCTTTGTACTTAATAATTTTTAAATACATTTTGATTTTATTTATAGCCTCATATAGGTACATTTCTTTTTTCAATAAATTGACGCAGTTTGAATAATACTGTAGTTGTCACAGCATATGTGCCTACACATTGGGCTTTAGAAAAAGGTTAATTTTTTCGCAATTTATCATCTCAGATAAAAATGCGTGATGCCGTGATGGGTTCAGTGGTATAGTCGTATAGGTACTGAATTTCGATTTCAAAAGATGTTGAGCCGTTTCCAAAAAGCTTGTTGTTCCTTTGCACACTCGTTATACTCGTTTCCATATTTCCCTCAGTGTCTTGCACGTGTTTATTTTGATTGCGTATGGCAATTACGCAAGCAAGTGTGTAGCAACGGCGGCGCATCGTTGAAAATCAATAAATTTCACGGTTTCGGGAACCCGTGAGGTACATTTTGCCATACAGTCGGTATGAAATATTCAAGATTCATGTTGATGACAAATGATAAAAGCGCATTGTTCACAAGGGTCCCCGGAAGTTAATCAGCTATTTGAAATTGGACATTTAAATTTTTAAATGATACATTTTTTAGCTAATATAGTTAGGTGTATTGATTCCAATTTTAGTAAATCAATAGTGTTTTACTATTAAACCGCAGTCGACTCAAAATTAGGAAGCTAGTTTTCAACAAGTGTGCGCCTATGTCTACGGAGCGATATGTCCAATAAAATATGTTTACTTTTTTTAGAGATCGCGGTACCTACTGTTCTTATTAATAAATTTCGATCGTGAAAAAAATTAAAAACGATTACGTAACTAAAATTGTTAATACTTGTTTACCTGTTGTGGGTTCGTCACAGAATAGAAATGATGGGTCGGTAAGAAGCTCAGTTGCAAACGACACAATTTTTCTCTCGCCACCCGATAACGTTGTCTACAATATAAAATATATATAATATAGGTAATAAACAAGTTTATATCATCTTGTTATAGACTTTCCATTTAAGTACCTTTCCGTTTTCCCCACCAGCCCCAATTCTAGTATTTTCACATTGCCCAAGACCTAATTCTTCTATAACCGCCGATACTCGAGCTTTCAGATTTTTGTCAGTTGTTCTCCTGTCTAGTTTTAATTTAGCCTGGAACAATGCGTTTTTATAACTAAAATTGAATGAAAATCCCTCAATGACTTACCATGAAATGAAGGTGCTCTTTTACGGTTAAAGATCCACAGAATAAATCGTGTTGATACATATATCCAAAATTGTGGCTTTCAAAATTTCTAACAGAAAGACTTCCTATTTTTGCTCTTCCTTCAAGTTCGATTTGGGCTTCAAAAATATTTCAATAAATCATAATAGAAAAATATACAATATAGGTAACTAAATGTATATTTTCACATCTTAATATGGAAAATAATATTACCTGGAAGTTTATTAGCCAGAGCAGCCATCAAAGTACTTTTTCCAGCTCCGCTGAAATTATATTAATTCTTGTTAAATTTAAAGAGGTATAACTTACTAAAAAATGTTGGTTTATATACAAACCTTGGTCCCATGATGGCTACAAGTGAACACGGAGGTATATATCCTTCGACTTGAAAAATAAATAGAATGTGTTCATTTAATAAACATTAAAACACGAGATCACGTCCATCACGGTAAGTTTTAAGTTATAATAATATTATAGCATACCTACCTACCTATTAGGCATTGTAATTTGTAATATTGTATATTTGCATGTATAATATATATATATAGTAATTTGATCTGTAGTCTGTAATATTGGATGGTCGGAAGGCTTAGATGTGTACTTTTTTATGTACCCATATATTTTTATTGTGAATAGATGTAGGTATGTTTATTTTATATTTGTATACTATAAGAAACCAAACATATATGCACAAATATGCATACAATGCTTGCATGGTAAATGGTAATAAACATACCTAGCTACTACTATTGTGCAAGTACAATATCGAAATAATTTGGTTAAAAATTAAAATAAACTACCTACTCACATAAGTTAAAGCAAATAAAATATGTTTCTATTATGAACTATATCACTTACCATTTATTAAAATCAGATATTAAGATAGGTATCAGTGGTATCCGCAGGGGGGGGGGGCTAACGGGCTGAAGCTCCGCCCCCATTGTCCATATTATTATTACTTAAAAAAAAAATTTATCAAGTTTCAAAGTTTCAATTGTCAACTATAGTAAGCAAGGCCTAAATGTCATATACGTCTTACCACAATGAATTCATTTTTGAAAAAACATTGTATTTGCATACCAATTTTCATAAATTATCTGTAATTTTTCGATAAAAGTATGAACTAGGTACTAGTAAAAAAGACCTTGTATTAAATTGTCTAGCCTCAGCTATTCTAGGATTTTTAGTAATGAGGAGAAGTAATGCTAACTACGCGGTTCCTCCTAGCTCCGTCCCTCCATTAACTCGAAAAAAAAAGAAAAAAAACGGACTTTTAGTATTTGTTGTTATAGCATCCACGGAAATACATAATCTGTGAAAATTTCAACTTTCTAACTTTCATGGTTCATGAGATCAGAGATACAGCCTAGTGACGGACAGCGGAGCCTTAGTAATAGGCTTCCGTTTTACCGTACAGAACCCAAAAACTTACGTATTACATTTTTAAGCTTCTTGATCGGATAAATAATTTTTATTGATATTTAGAAAAAAAAAATTTTAATTAATCAAATACAATCCAAGTGAGGACGGTATAACCAAGCTGGTTACCAAACAATTTTAATAAATTTTCATTTTTTTCTCCAATTATTTTAAAAAGCACTGAGAAATTTCAATTTCGACCTCCTAAAAGTACCAACTAGATCCAAATTGCTTCCAAAAATATACATCGGGCATCGAAGCTTATATGATCAGAGCATTTTTTCTACCACAAAAGTTGAAAAGTTACAAACATTTTAAAATACCTCAAATAAACGTCTTAAATCATTAGACTGGACAAAATAAAAATTACTAATTTTCAAGCCCCCCCCCCCCATTGAAAAATCCTGCGTACGCCACTGTTAAGTATCATAATTTTAACAATCAAAAATAACTTTTAAAAAATGTCTAAATACAACCGTACTTTTATATTGGCCTTATAATATAGGTACTTATATTTACTTATAATAATTTACCAATTAAAAAATCAGTTGGTGTATTTTTAAAAACTTGAATTAGGTACCATTTATAAATACCTAATAATATGCCACAGGTAAATATATGGTAACCTCCCTAATCTATACATCAATTACACTACTCATAGCTACTTAGTAAATCAAGGCTTAAGCTTTGTCTAGCATAATATTATAAGTATTATTATAAAAAGTATTTAAAAGATCTTAATCTAAATCATACTACGTTATGATTGCACAAAAAAGCTTAAAATTGTAATTTATTTTCTATTCTTTATTTGTTCAATCTATATTAATAATGTATTGTTATGTTAAATTGTGTTGCATTGAACTTGTTGCACCCACCACAAGCTATGCTTTTAGGGCTGCGTCATAAGTTGTACCTATTTACTTTTAATTGTTGTTGTATCTTCATGTAAACATATTATTTTGACAATAAACAATATTATTATTATTATTATTAAATAATTAATATTTCCAGTAAGAAAATAGTATATTAACGTTAGTATTATTGGCGCTGGTAAAATAAAAAAAGTAGATTAACCTCCTACCAGGCTACCTACCTATTAACTAATAAATGAAATTCAATACTTATGGTATCTTTACGTAATACGATAACATAAAATAACATTTAGTTTCTGAAATTTAAGAATTAGATTTCTTTTAAATGGTTTTACCACAATAAGAATTTTCGAAAGCTTATTATTGAATATACTTGTAAGTTGTAATTTATTCTGTAATTAGTAAATATATTATTATTCACCGTTCCTAGATAATAAAATTAAAATATGGCAACTAACATTTAAAGATAAATTGAATTGTTATAATTTATTAAATCTATTTATAAGATGAATTACAAATGATATTTAATATATTTGTTGGGTTTAATACTTTAATGTATTATATTAAAAAACTTTTTATTTATCTGTAGCTTAAAGCCAATATATAAGTACGGTTGTATCTAGAAAGCCTTTAAACCTTCAATTTTCAGTGACGACAAGAACTGGTGTCATAAGTAAGAGTGTAAAATAATTATGAAGTGATAACATATGTGCAACAGATTAATTCAATTTAATTTACTACTGAAAGGTTTAGGTAGTTGTTGTTGTCCAATGTGTTTATTACTATACTATATCTAAAAATGTGTGATTCGCACCATAGATCACTTAGATGAATTTCTAATAGTTTTTCTAGTCATGTAGGTTATGTACACACGATTCGAGATATCGTAGATAGATATAAGGTAGATACCTAATGATAAACGGCTTAATATATTTGAAGCATCTTAAATATCAATGGGGTATGTTAGAGTGGTACCTTTATTTTAATTATAAAAAAATAAGATTAAACATTTGGCCGATGTACCTAGGTAGTAGGTACCTATTTATTGGTAGGAGAGGAGACAAGGAAGGAACATTTTCTTTTATTACTTATTGATGTTAAGAATTATAAATAAATATTTTCAAAATTTAAAATGCTCTCAAGGAAAATTGAAATGAAACTGAGTAGGTGCTATAACTGCTAATATACCTACCTAGACCGTGAAAATTGCATGAGTGCCCACAAAGAGTGCAACTGTGAATGAATTTAATTGAAAGAATCTAGGTAGATCGTGGGTATTATCTACTATAATTTCCCTTACATTATTGGGGATGAAATATTTATATGCATAATGCATTACCAATTATATAAACTAATTAGGTGCTTATAGGCATAGCAGATTTAACGTTTGAGAATTGGGAGGGGGCTGAAGCCCTTTTATAAAAATATTGAATAACCCTATTTGCACCTATGGGTTAAGAAGGTTTAGGTAATAAATGTTGTATTTCAACTTAAAAGTTAGGTACGTGCATTTATTTATAGTTCTTACCTTTATTTAACAAAAGTTTTCTAGTGGTGATGCTCGAACGTAACCACCGGTCTTTTTTAATCATTGCGTGTACGCTCAAATTTTCCCAATAAATTGGTAAACAATTTTCATTATTTTCGCCCTAAAATAAAAATGTCCGTAAGTATAATGGGATCGCGTCACCGAGTATAACACAAAACATTTTGAAATTACCCCATTGTTCGTGCATAAATGGAGAGAAGAGTCGTGATGGTCGGGCGCGTCTGTGTTGAAAAATACCGTATACGTAGACGCCAAATCCATTATTTTTTATCTTTAGATTTTTTTAAAATAAAAATGTTACTTTCCTACTGTTCACGGCTTTACCGAGCTAATTGCGATTGAACTCTGTGTAGATCACTGAAACTACAGTTCATATACCGGAGCCATGTAGGTGTTCACTGTGTGAAGCCAAACACAATTAAAAAGTATCGATTGCATTTTTTAATTATATAATGATATAATATTAATGTAGGTATATTATGTTGCTCAACAAAATAACAATTTTGAAAAAAGGGAATGTAGGTAACCACTAACCAGGGAGGGTTAGCGATTTTTTTCGGTCCAGGAAATATTCAAATACGTAACTTATTTTACCACTCCCCCACACAAAACGGTATTGTTTTGATTTATATAAGTACCCGTTCCTTAATTTTTGATTTCAACATTTTTCGGTCTCAGCCTTAAATTAGTAAAATATTTAATGACTATTATTATAACTATAATAGTCTTGTAGGGTTAGTCAAATAAGGTTAACCCGTTCCGGGTTGAACTTGAAATTTGAACATAATACATTTTTTAATATCTATATTTATAGACTTATTAAAATTTTGTTCAATGTTTAAGAGTTATTTAACTTTCTGAACCTTTTAAAGAAATACATTTTTTATATCAATATTATATACACATACACGTATATCGCCAACTCATACGCACTGCCGTATCGCGCAAATCTAATCTATTTTAAGAATTATATACCTGTACAACGAAAAACAGATTTTAACAATTAATATTTAAACATAGGTAGGTACATCATATTTATAATATAAAATAAAATTCACATTTTTAAATATTTTATAAAACAAAATAATTATTTATTCGTCCGTGTTCTAATTTCTAAATGGGGAGAACTCTCTTTGTCTCCTATGACGCTTCGCCACTAAATATTACCTGGGTAGTAAATGTACTCAATTTTATATTTAAACAAACTAAGTTGAACAACTACAAGAAACCTTTCTAATTACACGTTTTTGGCTGAGTGTAAAATTGTCTATGTTATGCACTTGTAAGACGGAGACAACACATGGGGGTATCACTTCCTCTTAAGACTTAAGGACTTAAGAGGACCTAACCTACACATGAGTACACGAGTTAAACCTCTATCTGTATTTCACGAATAATGAGATTACATTTTAATATTAAGGTAATATAAGTGACCTATATAACCAATAACATTTTGTACCTGACAATTTTTAAAATAAACGTTGTCTGAGTTTATCAGTAGCTTTTATTAATATTTTATAGTTTATTTAAAGAAAGTTATCAATATTATAAACCTAATAAACAAAAAAATTAAAAATAATAATGAAACTAAAATAAGCAACTTTCTACTAAAATAAAAGCTTTTGACAAACTGAAACATAATATTATGTTATTAATATATATTATTCTATTTTTTAATATTTTTATATGTAATGAATAATGTCATGTTACCTTTAATATATTACACTAATGTAATAACTAATAACTGGGAATTCAATACAAAACAACATTTTTACTAAATTCTACAATCTTAAATTTACACAGCCACATAGCTAGGTATTGTGTAAGACAGAGAAAATTATATAACCGAGGCAATATCTTTAATCAATTATTTACATATTTAAATTCATGTTCAAGTAAGTTAGTCAATGTTACATCTGATACATGGCTACCTATATATTTTGATTGTGTATTTTACATTTGTACTAAATTTGAAACAATTCTAAAAATATATTCTAAAACGTGAGTATAATAGGGTTTTTATTAAAAGCTAATATACAGATAATAGGTAAGTACTTAATACTTACACCACTATTAAATTAAAACTGAAAGTATTACTTCAATTTTTTATAATTACATACTAATATATTTAAATACGGTACCTACGTATAAATAATAATATGGTAAAATTAATTTTTAGTGTTTACCATAATAAACGGGATATAATTTTAAATATTACATAGAAATAAAACTGGACTAGGTAATGTTAAGAACAAATGAAGACTACTCACTAGTCAGTAATCAGAAAATTTGTAAAAAAAAAAATAATGTATGTAGATATAAAAAAATTACTTTAAAAATAATTTATGCTCAAATAGGTATGTTTTAATATCTAATATTTCAGTATCTGTAACTATATACTATTTAAACTAAAGCATTCGTAACATGAAGATCTTGCAAATCCATTAATTTGTGATTTCACTAATGAATTGTGTTTGTACATATCTTTAATAGAATAAGTTTTTATTATAAATTTAAAATAATGCAACAAATATAAAAAAAAGTATTTTTGTTTTAAAATTGGTACACTTACAAACCATACACAACACATACATTTATATATAATAAAAACTGAAAGAAGTTATAATTGAAATAGTTCTTTGAGCACTTTATATTAATTATATACATATAAATAAATATTGGTTAAATTCATATATTCATAAGTTAAAACCAAAAATGATTAATTCACCACTAATACCAAGAAACTTATGCTAAAATATACTTGACATTTTCACCTCTTAAAAAAAAATTTCTCTAATCTCTGACTATCGATTTATACAAATTGTTCATTGTTAACCTTACCAAACATAATAGTACACACACTGTGACAAAATCTTAAACAAATATAACATTTAATTTACTCTACTCTAAGTAACAACATACTCCACGTTTTAAATTTAAAAATTGTAACAATTATTATATTATGTTGTCAAGAGATGCTATTTTTACTGTTAAATGATAATAATTATTAGTATTTTGTATATATTTTATTAAATGAAATAATAATTATCTAACATTATTTATATTTATATATTTACAAACAAAATTTAAATTAAAAACGTTGAGATTTATAATTTACATGTTATGAATCACAATTTGTTTAATGGCCTTTATAGATTTGGGTCACAGTTCATCATCTCCTGAGGCCTTAGTAGTTATAAGGAAATTTAAGATAATTCATTTATTCATTACTGGCAATGATATTAGCTATTAAAATAGTAAGTGGAGGCGTTATATTAAAAATGTAATATAACATAAACACTTAAAAAGAATAAAAAATTATATGTGGTATTTCAAAGTTGCAAAATGATTATTTAATATTTATATTACAAAAACTGAAGTTTAATTATAAAATTTATATTGTATTACCCCATTATGTAAGTGCACACTAAAAAAAAAAAAAAAATATTTTTGATTTATGTCAAACAGTATTTATATTTGAACTTTTGCACAGTTACATATTAGACGTAAAAAAAGAAGAAAATTCAAATATTTTAATTATGATCATCTAATAATTTTTTCTACAAAATATTATAACTTTATTATAACAAAAAAAATTTTATATCCCAATTATCATCTATTATGGGTTTAAGTAACTGAATATAATATTAACGTTTTAGTTTTACCTTTAAGTTAATTATTATAATATATAATATCTGTGTACAATAAAAACAAAATTAATTAGACAGACATGAAATATCTGATCACGTTACATTTTGAGTGACAACTGGTACCAATTTTTCTGGAATTAGAGATAGCTAAAAAAAAAAAATATTGATTATTTTACATAGATGTATGACGTGTATTTATTGTATATTTTAATAATAATAAATAAGTAAACAAATTTCCTAGTCCCACCTCCTCACCATTTAATAATCATTTAGCTCTAATCACCTTTCCACTCTCATCATGACCTTGATATTTGGGTTTACTGTGAGTGAATGGTAAGTATCTGTATCTGATCATATGCTGAAAAATAGAAAATAAAATAACGTTAGAAATAAAAAATATTTACATATAATTAATAAAAAACACACATATTGCTTATTGTAATTTAGATAAGACACAGTTAATAATTTATACAGCACATAATACTTGTATATAATCAATGCTACTATCAAATTTAAACAAAGTATAAGAATGTCATGGGTTACTTAGCAATTATCTACCCAAATAACAAATATGCAAAATATTAAATAACCAATAAAAGTTGTTTGAAGTGAGATTATTTTTTAACCCTAGATCACACGCATTTAAAATATTCACGAGAACACACGAGCACGGTCTTTTTAGTCACACACAGTATAGCGCAAATCATAGTCAACTAAACAGTCACAATGAAAATATAATAACTATCAATTTCATTTATCGAGTAACAATTATTAGAAACACAGTTTAAAAATAACCCATAATTGATTTTTTACGATCACGCACACGGTCTTTTTGACCATATATTAATACGTAATGTCTGGTAATAAACTCTGAACACTTCTATATCGCTGACATCAGATCGTATACAGTTGGGAGTTGTATATAATTTTAGTTTATCACCTAATTAGAAGGTACCAAGGTTGGATTAGGTGAATATTTCTTATTTTTGAAACAATGAACAAAATTCTACAAGCCCGGTCTTTTTGACCGTGAAGCATGTGCTCTAGGGTTAAAATATAAATGAATAATAGAAAAGTTAGTGTTAAGATTGAATAACTAATAAGTTTGGTCTCATTATACTTCTTTTAAATTAATCAATTAACAAAGCATCAATTATAATACATATGTATACTGTTTAATTTATTAAATATAAATACTATTAATTTATTGGGTAGTACTAAATGTAGATAAAAATACATTTAATAAGAACAAGTAAACTTAACAAGAACAATATTGCGACTACATGAGTATGTTGAGCCTACCGGTTGGGATAAACCGGTTTATCCCATTCTCATACAAGACAGAGTATAACATTTAAATGTATAAAACTTAATACAAAATATTTAATTAAATATTTCTTACCATTATTTGGCGTTTCATTGTTATACAAAATAGAACAATAAAGTATAAGACAAGAATGGGCCAAAATACAGGAACGTCAAAAAATTGGAAAAATGTCAAAAATATTGACAGTAATGTAGATTTTATTACCGAGTACCAAAATTTAAATTCAGGTAGTCGGCGAATAAATGGTCTGAATTCTTCATTTGCTCGGGTTGGCAACGATGGGCCAGAATCATCTAAATTAACATAACATTTTTTTAATATAATATTACTATTGTTATTTAAATAATAAATAAAACCCAATAAAAATTACCTTCAAACTCGTCCATAGCTGGATCTATTTTTGGTGTAAGGAATGCAATAAATAAATTTAAATGGTATATACCCAGTGCGTACGTAATTATGTACCATCCCTAAAAAATATAATTAATGGAATTTCAATAAATTATTAAACAATAAGCAAAAATAATTTAGGTATCTAGTACCAAAAATGAAATATTAAGTTCTAACTCCCACCAAATAAGCTAATATACGCTAATATATCTATATTAAGCAACTATAATTGCCTATCCTATAAATATATTATAAGAATATAAATATATAATATTTGAGTGTTTCAACCCACCAATATCTTTTTAAAACAAGATATTTTTAACCTCAGTAAAAAATTAGAATCATCAATAAAAACATTGTAGCATTTATGCATAC